GTAATAGCTGGGCTGAACCCCTCCAACCCAAGTCCTAGCACCACATCCCATGCAGGCCACAGGAGATGCTGAGCTGCCAGCTTGGAAGGCAGGCTGGATATGGCAGAATCAAACCAAACCCGAAGGGCTGAAAGAGTTTCAGCTGCTTCCTAGCCTCCGCCCACCCTACCCCACTACCACGTACATGCCCCTCTGCACTTTCTGGTTTCAAGTGAGGCAGGCAGCAGAGCCGCCAGAAGAAAGGCTTCTCTCATGGCCATTCTAATTCAGCCAAAACAGAACACGAGATCTTTGGACAAATACACTGGCCGAAGATGTTTGGGTAACCCAGAAGATGTCTGAACCTGTCCCTAGTCACGACTAACATCAGGAAAACGGGAACACCCTCAAAACCCCAGTAGGGTCCCTACAGACCCCCCTGCTGTGCATTCTCCAATTGGATACAGTAGCCAGCATGTTATCAGTCATCGCACAGGCATATTCCCACACCCATAGGCACAACATCAAGATCGTGTCTTTTGTGTAGCTAAAACGCTCATCCGGCAGAGAAGTAGTAACCAATCTTCTCCTGTGCACTGCTCATTTCCTTTGGCTCCCCTTTTAATAGGAAATTAGTCAAACAGCACTCAGCATTACATATACCCAATACCCTGTATACAGCTTCAATATGTCCATCCTCAGGTGCCTACCCTTGGTAGCTGGTGTGTGCACATGCTCTCTCAATAAGCTGTACCATGCTCTCTCCATAAGCTGCGCAGATAGCCGGCTCAGCAAACCCGACAGCACTGCCCAGAAAGACCACATGCTGGGTTCCGCGGCAAAGGCGCTCAGCCAGGTTTATTGTCAACAGATCATGGTCCTTGTGCCCCCCCAGGAGCCACAGGGACACTAACACAGGTATGCCCATCACAATGGGCTCAGCTCACTCAGCAATGGCACTTTTGGTTGGACAAAGGTGCCCCTCCTAGGATTTCTCTTGTATACATTGATAGGAACAGGTATCACACCCCAATGGCCCAAGGGGTCCCCTGGGGAAGGCAGATCAGCATTGTATATGGTTAACGCTATTGCAAGCATCGCAGGGCATTTTGGGAAGGGTCAAAGGTGTGAGTGAGTGTGGAACAAAAGATTCCTTCACAGGTCACGTGAGGCCAGAGGGGGAAGGAGGAAAAGAGCAAAGAACAGGTTAACTCTGCGCTCCTGCTAGGCCCAAAAATAAGATGCTGACTGCAGCCCGCTCAAGGCCACAACACACATCTGACTCTCGGCTGCCTGCCAAGAAAGAGGGGGGCCCGGAATTCACCGATCAGCCATAAGGAAGGAAGATGCAGCTGAGCAGACCTGCAAAGGCAGCCCATAACAAGCGAGACAAGTGAAGGCCAGCACGGAGGAAAACAACGAGGTCAACAAAGTCTAGCCGGTGTGTTTTGGGAAAGCCGAGGAGACCACAGAGAGCTGGTTTGGACTGGTACAAAAAACACCAGGAACAGAGGTCACGAAATAAAACACCCGCAAAGGCACCCTGGACTTAAAAACCCTCCTAAGAGCTGGAGCAATTCGGAGATCGCAGCGGACCCCGGACGACCTGGGCCCAGGACAGAACTCCCATCCACCCTTCCCCCTCTTCTTCTTATGTTACACCCAGGCTTGGCCAGCCTAGGGTAGAGCGTGTGTGAGTATGAAAGTAGGTTAGGGCTTGGGGCATTAATGCTTCCTTCCTTCCTCTGAGTGACATGGGGAGCACCCCTCACTCTCCGCTGTTATTATTTTATGAATAAAGCTTTAAACTTAGACCCTTGGTGTGTTTCGTCATCTCCTCCCCTAAAGATCCTATGGCTTCAGCCTAATCACCTAACGCCTCAGGCAGACTGGTAACAGAAATCTGCCACACAGGTTACGTGTCACACTCCTGACATGGTCAGTTACCGACCCTACACCTTGGACCAGCTGGTTTGAACAAAACATCCCCCTCCATCATCCTCCCATCCTTGTCTTACTCAGGGTCAGTGTGTTCCTGTACCATCACCTAGGACAGGGGTTATGCCATAACTCCACGTTGGGGTAGACCTGTGCCAGCCTTCCGGAATGGGATTACATGAATACCCAGCGCCTAGTACTTCTTAGAGTGCCTGTGTTTTAGCAATGCCACCCAGGCTTTTGCCAAGTTCATGTACCAGGCAGTGAACATATAAGTAGGCGTTTGCTTTATGACAGGGCCTGACCTTTTCTAACTTTGATTTAGGCCTCAGGCCTTGCACCAGGCCCTGTGCTCCAGGCTCGCTCTCTCTACTATACCTAACTTCTGCCTACATCCCTATCTGCGCAACACAGCTCCCCTTGTATAGCACGACGCAATGTTAACACAAAGGCAGCAATCCCCAACCCCCTGGCTAGCAATGCACTGGGAACAACTACTGACTAGCAATGCACTGGGAACAACTACTCTTGAGAGAAATCAGGGTGGATAAAAATCTGATTTAAATAAAAAAAATCTGATTTTTTTTAAATCATTGATTTTTTTGATAAAATGCTTTTTGAGGAAAAAGCCTATCTAAAGATAGATACATTAAAGCTCAAAGATGATATCATGGAATAGGGATTATAAATTCTAATTTATATTGTCTCATACTATAGTTCATGTAATGTTTAAGAAAAGTTTTGTAAATGAGTTCCAATAGTTCATGGATTAGGGACCCAATTTTATGGGGTTCCAGGGGTTTCTGTATAGATTATTTAGGTTAATCTTTCTATCTACACAATGGGACTCAGTGCTCAGTCTAGAAGATACCATCAGAGATGCTTAGTTTTTCAGTTCTCAAACTGTGGATTTGTGTCTCCAGAGGTAACATGCTGGTTAACAGCAAAAATGTTTTTAAATAAATAAATAAATAAAATATAGAGGTGAGAAATAAGAGACCTCAACCCTATTGTCCCTCTGCAAATTTGTGTACACAGAGTCAATCCCTTGCCGCTCTCTAAAAGTGCAAAGTTTCAAAAAGTTCAATGAATAGAAGCTTGTTGGGGGCCGAATAGATCTGGACAAGGAGAATAAGTCTGGAGATAAATGTGAGACGGGAGGGACAGGCAGTAGAAACAAAAGTGAAACTGTTTAAGAAGCATATTCCAGAAGTCTTGAGGTCTTCCTGAGTGTAGCCTTCATTGATTTGAAATCTACCATACCATTCTCTCACTAGAAGGGAAACCCTATAATGGCAGCCAGCCGTAAAAGAGACACAGTTTGGGAATAAGAACCATTCAAGAAATACGTTTGCTGATGATGTTTTAAAGAAAGTCACACCAGTGAACTGGTGGAAGTCACTTAAGCACTTGGATTCAGAGACTGTTGAAGTGATAATCTCACTTTTAACAGCAGTAGCTTCTTCTGCCGGTGTAGAAAGAATATTTTCTTCCTTTGGACTAATTCATTCCCAACTGAGAAATTGTTTGGGACTTGAAAAAGCAGGAATGCTTGTTTTTGTTTTCCAGATTATGAACAAACAGGAAAATGAAGGTGAAGACGACTGAATTAGCGGCAGAAGCCAATATTTTATGTTTCTCGTGTTGACCTGGCTGACATAGTCGATTTAATTTTTTTTTTAATATTTCATTTAATGATTTTAAACAACTTTAACAAAAACAAACCTGATTTTAAAAACTTGAATGTTTAACTAAATTCAAAAATTCATATGCTTGTTTTGTTAAAATATTATATGTTTGCTGTTGAAGAAAAAAAATCCAGAATACAGAACGTTGTTGTTTTAGTTAAATAAAACAATTTAAATGTCTGTCTGGTGATGTTCTCCTCCTAATACAGCATGGCAAGAAAATCCTCCAAATGTTGATTAACCTGTTGAATTGGAGATAGTTCATCTCCCAATGACTTCATAAATATCTGCTTCAATTACCTTTGGTAAATGAAATAACCAAACAATCGTTTATTTTCTGATATAGCTGTAAAACTAATCTGAAAAGTTTTCAAATAAATCACTTTAAAAAATGTATAGTGTGTACCTTCTAAAAATGAAACCTACATCTATCTCTGAGTTGTGAAGAATATGTATTAAGATTATAACAACCCACAAGAATGCACTTTTATGTAGAAATCCATGATTAAATCGAGTCTTCCTGACTAGTGATTTAAATCATGAGTTAAATCAATTTGATTTAAATCAAATCCACCCTCAGAGAAATTCAGAGCAGTGCCAGGCTGTGGTTCTGGGGTATCACTGAGGTGTCATTCCTGCAGATCCCTGGGAAATCTCCAAACATGACAGTATCATAATGGTAACAGTCAATACCACTCACCACCTTACTGCCACTGGCCAGCCGACTACACGGTTAAAATTGGTCCTCAGTGGTAAAGAAACAACATGCAATAAACTAGGCACAAGTCACAGGGATAACAGTAGGTACCCAGAACAGATCCACTGTGATTCCAGGCCACCACTCCTCTCTGATAATGCAGTGGTGTAATAGCAGAACTCTGGAAATGCAATGGGCTAAACCATTCACATATGCTTCATGGAGACCCTTCTGCACAACACACGCCCTGCTTCATCTAAGAGTTGCATGTGCATCTGTCTATGCTTCAGGAACCAAGACAGACATGCACAACCACGCTCTCCTTCTACACTCCCTGACCTATCAGCGGGCAGCTTCTGAGACAATCGCAGCCACTCAAACCCCACCAAAACCAAGTCAAGACACTGGCACAAGGTAGGCACTGGATGCCTCCATGCCAGCCAATACCCCAGCAAGAAAAAAAGAAACCTTATTTTAGGAGAGTCTTCCAACATCCAAGACAACACAGAGAAAGGCACGAAACCCACAGTGAGAACATGTGGAGTCAGAAAGAACATTAAAGAAGCTGGCTTACGAGAAACATCAATGCTTAGTGAAGAGCACAGAATCCATCAGGCAGCCATGCCCTCCAGCACCCCTTCTTGTCTCTTTAACCACGTGGCACACACAAGGAAACATACACCCTTTGCAACACTTACCCTGATTCTCCGCATTGCAGTCACAATCTCCACCCTGCTGTTTGGCCGAGGCACATCAAGGCTTCCAATGTACTAGAAAAAAGGGGAAAATAGGATTAGGACAGCTCCCATGTTCGAAAAATAGCACAGATGTGCAGGGAATTTTCCATCAAGCAGCTAAACCACCCCCCTGCCAATGCAGGAGCATTTCTCCTTATACATCACAGCATTTTGTCCAGTCTATTTTACGTGTCCTATACAATGACGCTTCTGTCACTTTCCCTGGGAAACTATTCCACAGTCTAATCCATCTGTCAGGAAATTTTCCTTGATATTCATCCTAAATTTTCCATTTCTTAATCTCATCCCATTATTCCTATGCTGAGTCATCCTACCCCCGCCCTCCCATCTATTGGCCTGATGTTTTCATCTTTCGCACATCTGCAGATTATTCCTTCTCCCTGTCATGCGAGGCATTTCATCAAGCCACATATTTAACTGTCTTTATTCATAGGTTTTAAGGCCAGCAGGGACCATTAGAAGAACCTAGTCTGACCTCCTGCATAGCACAGGACGGAGACTCCACCCAATGATTCCTGCACCAAACCCATACCTTCCGGCAGATCTTTTGGAAAGACATTTCACCATAAGATCCCCATTGTGGAGAGCCCCCCATGTCCTTAGCTAAGTTGTTCCAATGGTTAATTACCCTTGCTGCTAAAAAAAGTGTGCCTTATTTTGATTCTGAATGTGCCAAGCATCAGCTTCCAGTCACTAGATCCTGTTATACTTTTGCCTGCTAGATTCAAGAGCCCTTTGCTCTCAGAAATGTCTTCCTCACATAGGTACTTATAGGAGATGATTAGTCATCCCTTAAAACTTCCCTTGCATAAACCAGATTTGACTTTTTAGTCTCTCAGTATAAGGCAGGTCTTTCAGACCTGAAATCGTTCTTGTAACTCTTTACTGAGCGCCTTCCAATTTTTTAACATTGTTTTTGAAGTGTGGACACCAGAATTGGACTCAGTATCCAATAATGATCTCATCAGTGCTGTATACAGCTCAATAGTCATCCACTTAGATATCCAAGCATTGCATAAGCTCTGTTAACCACAACATCCCACTGGGATCTCATGTTCAGCTGGTTTCCATCATGACCTCTAGGTCTCTCAGAGGTCCTGCTTTCCAGGATGTGGTCCTCTGTCCTGTAAGTGGCCTTTTATTTTCTGTTCCTAGATATCGTTCCTTGCAGGTGGCAGTATTAACACACATTACTTGATTGCATCCAGCTTATAAAGAGATCCGGACCACTCTAAAGCCGACCTGTTCTTAGTATTTACTACTTCATCAATCTGTGTCCTCTATAAACTTTACCTACAATCATTTTCTTCAAGATCATTGATCAAGATAGAGTAGCATTATGTCAAGAACAGTCCACTCCATCACCACATGGGATGAGGATTCCCCAAGTACAATTATGGTTTGATGAGCTCTTTCAGCCAGACAGCTTTTAATTCCTTTACTATGAGCCAATGTCATTTTGTATAGTGTTAATTTTTTAGTCTTCCTTTGGAGAAAGTTCTGAAGGAACTCAAATGTGAAATTGCCAGACTACTACTAACTGTGGTTTGTAACCTATCATTTAAATCAGCTTCTGTACCAGATGACTCGAGTACAGCTAATGTGATGCCAAATTTTTTACAAAAATGCTCCAGAGGTGATCCCGGCAATTACAGGCACTGCGATAAGCCTGACTTCAGTACCAGGTAAATGTTGAAACTATAGTAAAGAACAGAATTATTAGACACACAGATGAACATAATCTGTTGGGGAAGAGTCAACATGGCTTTTGTAAAGGGAAATCACGCCTCACCAATCTACTAGAATTCTTTGAGGGGGGGGGGATCAACAAGTATGTGGACAAGGGGGATCCAGAGGATAGAGCATACTTAGATTTTCAGAAAGCCTGTGACAAGATCCCTCACCAAAGGCTCTTAAGCAAAGTAAGCTGTCATGGAATAAGAGGAAAGGTCCTCTCATGGATCAGTAACTGGTTAAAAGATAGGGTAGGATTAAATGGTCAGTTTTCAGAACTGAGAGAGGTAAATAGCGGTATCCCCCAGAGGTCTGAACTGAGACCAGTACTAGTCAACATATTCATAAATGATCTCGAAAAAGGGGTAAACAGTGAGGTGGCAAAATTTGCAGACGATACAAAACTACTCAAGATAGTGAAGTCAAAAGCAGACTGAAGAGTTACAAAGGGATCTCACAAAACTGGGTGACTGGGCAACAAAATAGCAGATGAAATTCAATGTTGATAAACACAAAGTAATGCACATTAATCCCAATTATACATATAAAATGATGGGATCTAAATTAGCTGTTACCACTCAAGAAAGAGATCTTGGAGTCATTGTGGATAGTTCTCTGAAAACATCTGCTCAACGTGCAGTCAAAAAAAACTAACAAAATGCTGGGAATCATTAAAAAAGGGATAGATAAGAAAACAGAAAAAATAATATTGCCTCTATATAAATTCATGATACACCCACACCTTGAATACTGCATGCAGATCTGGTTACCACATCTCAAAAAAGATATACTGGAATTGGAAAAGGAACAGAAAAGGGCAACAAAAATGATTAGGGGTATGGAACACATTCCGTATGAAGAGATTAATAAGACTGGGACTTCCCGGTTTGGAAAAGAGGCGACTAGAGGGGGATCTGATAGAGGTCTATAAAATCATGAGTGGTGTGGAGAAAGTAAATAAGGAAGTGTTATTTACTCCTCACAACACAAGAACTAGGGGTCACCAAATGAAATTAATAGGCAGCAGGTTTAAAAACAAAAGGAAGTATTTTTTCACATAACGCAGTCAACCTGTGGAACTCTTTGTAAGAGAATGTTGTGAAGGCCTAGACTATAACAGAGTTCAAAAAAGAACTAGATAAGTTGATGGCTATTAGCCACGATGATCAGAGATGCAACCCCATGCTCTGGGTGCCCCTAAACCTCTGGCTGCCAGGGGATGGATCACTCAATGATTGCCTGTTCTGTTCATTCCCTTTGAAGCACTTGGGATTGGCCACTGTCAGAAGACAGGACACTGGGCTAGATGGACCATTGGTCTGACCCAGCATGGCCTGTGATGTTATTGACATGAACTGTGAGTGTATAGATCATTGTTGCAACCAGGGTCCTATGGTTGCACCAGATCTTGTACAGAGGAGGTCAAGCGGGGGTGTCTATGGAAAGGTTGTAGTTTGCTGGTTATGATTATGCTGTCTGTGTGTATCATTTTTGTATTTGAAGTTATGAATATTGGCTATGTACTTGTATCTCAATGTGTTTGATTCTCAATGAGTTTTTCTGGGAACGTTCAAACTAACATGTAAACAATGGCGTCAGTCTGCAAAAAGCTGAATGATTCATGGACATGTGACTTGCCCAGGTTGTTAAAACTCCATCTTGCTGCTGTGATTTTGCACAGGAGAACAAAGGGGTTTCTGCCCACAAGAGAAAGAATATAAAAGGCCCTGGAAACCTCTCCATTTTGTCTTCAGCTGGCTCAAGAGATGGCCTCTTCACCCCCAAGAGATGCCTGAAAGAAACTGGAACAAAGGACAGTAACTACAGGGGTGTGAGTGATTGCTGGACCCAGACTAGGAAGAAGTACAATCTGTGAAAGAAGCTTATTGGGACATCTCTGAGGGTGAGATTCACCTGCATTCAGTTTCTTACTGTATCAGGCATAGATTTACGTGTTTCGTTTTATTTTGCTAGATAACTTACTTTGTTCTGTCTGTTATTACTTGGAACCACTTAAATCCTACTTTTGATAATTAATAAAATCACTTTTTGCTTATTAATTTAACCCAGAGTAAGTAATCAATACCTGGGGGAGCAAACAGCTGTGCACCTCTCTCTATCAGTGTTATAGAGGGTGGACAATTTATGAGTTTACCCTGTATAAGCTTTATACAGAGTAAAATGGATGTATTTGGGGTTTGGACCCCATTGGGAACTGGGTATCTGGGTGCTGGAGACAGGAGTACCTGCTAAGTGGTTTTCAGTTGAAGCCTGCAGCTTTCGGGGATGTGGTTCAGACCTGAGTCTGTGTTCACAGCAGGCTAGTGTGTCTGGCTCAACAAGACAGTGGTCTGGAGGTCCAAACTGGCAAAGAAAACGGGCTCAGAAGCAGTCTCAGCACATCCCAAAGTGGGGTCTCTGTGACCCAACCTGTCACATGGCCGTTCTTATGAACATTTCTATTGCTCTTCTATGAATTCCTTACTGTTTGTTGAGGAACACTAAGTGTGATACTCCAGGAATGACCAGAGCTGTATAAAGAATGACTAGAAACTCTCCCCTCAGTAGCATGATCCCCATCTATCTATTGTGACAGGGTCAGGCCAGAGGGCTACAGGAGAGTGATCCTTTTGCATACCGGGACGTGGGCGAGTGCTAGCTAGCCCACTGCTGAAAGCCCCTCCTCCAGCCTAAGGAGGGGCTACTAAACCCGGAACCCAACTGAGTTCGGGGGACAACAAAGGCAATAACAGGAACAGGCGTGGGGGTCAAAGGGCCAAAACTAAGGAACCGGAAGGGGACACCGAGCAGAGAACCCCGGACAGCACCCACTGCTCCTCGAAAACATCAAGAGAGCCGGTGGATGCTGCCCAGAGGAACTGTGCCCGGATACGTGAACGGATGAAAGAACGAAAAACGGCCCCAGTCGCAGGCCCCCCCTCTGCCAAACTCATCTCCCTGGTGTTACGAATGGCCACCTAGGCCATGGCTAGAAGGAGGTTGACGAGGTGGTCCCACGACTTCGTGAGGCCTCGGATCGGGTGTGCATAAAGAAATAAGTGCGGGGAAAAGTGCAGCCAGAACCTCAATAAGAGGTTCTGGAGGAGCTGGAAGAGGGGCTGCAGCCTGGCGCACTGAAGGTATGCGTGCGCCAGGGTCTCCTTCACGCCACGGAAGGGACAGGCTTCAGGCACAGCGGTAAACCGCGCCAAGTACACGCCTGTGCTCACAGCTCCATGCAGGAGCCGCCAGCTGATAGCCCCGGCTGGCCGCG